TTTGAAGATTTTATATATAATTTATATATAAATTTTGTGTAACCTGCATCACATAGCTCTCCAGATGACTGGTGAATCATCTATTAAATCTTTATATCTAGATTTTATTTTGGTCTATTAGTGCATCTTCGGATTTTTAAAATTAACTATAGTGTTAAATCTCAGTGTTTTTTAGTTTTCTTTTTATTTTACTCTTTTTATTTGCTTTTTTTAATTTCTTTTTTTTTACTTATTTTTTTTATTTAATTTGTTTTTTTTTACATTATATTTTCGATTTTTAATTAATTTGCACTTTATTTAAATATATATCTTATTTATTCAATTACTAATTTTTGTGCAGGTGATCAAATATATACAAGTATATTTATAAGGGCTATAATCAAACCACCATGCAATTTGGACATGAGCCAGATAAGATTAAACAATATCTCAATACAAGATACATAGGTATATCAAAGATGGCATGGCATCTTTTGAAATGTATTTACATAAAGAAGTTCCTAATATTGTAAAACTAGCTTTGCATTTACCTGGAATGTATCAAGTTGTTTTTGATTTAATTGATGAAGCTGCAGAAATTCTTTTTTATGCAAAATATTAAAAGACAACTCTAATTGCATTTTTTGAAATCTGTGTGACTATTGAATTTGCTTGATGATTTACATATCAAGAGTTTCCACAACATTTTGTGTAGAATAAAAATAGCAAGACTTGAACAGTTTGAAAAAAGGAGTTTACTATTAGTAGAATATATTTTGCAAATCTATTAGCTAGAAAACAATTTTATCTTCAACTTTTGCTTACTGTGGTTTGTTGCCCCAATTATTTAAACATTTACAGATAATAAATAGCGTTCAGTATTCAATATTCAAAGGCATATATATAGCTCTTGGTCTGCTCGAAGATGATAGAGAATAAACCTAATATTTGGAAGAAGCTTCTATTATGTATAGCAACCCACAATTGAGAGAACTTTTTGCTATTATTCTAATCAATGTACACCAACATATCCAAAGAGATTATAGTTAAAGTTTCGTGCCAATATCTGTGATAATCTTTATTATTATTTACAAAATAAACTTGCTATTGACAAACTTAGCGAAAAGTAAGTATATAACTATAGTCTATTTCTTATTAATAAAATATTACACAATTCTGATCATTTACTTTCTATATGTTTTTCAATACCTCTTTGAAAGCACAATTGGGGTCTTTATCATAGAAATTGACTTCTTGCTAAACACTTAGCATAGAATTGTAAGCAACTTTAAATTTTAGTTGAGAATAGAATTTGCAGCTAAACAATGATCAAAGTAATGTATATAATAGCATTTTGGATTCAGTAAATAATGGTCATAGCAAATTGTTTTTTTTCAATAAGCCTGCTAGAACTAGCAAAATATTCATTTATAACACACTTGCGATGAAGGTTTGCAGCAAAGATAAAATCATAATTTGTGTTGCATCCTCAGATATTGCAGCACTATTACTTAATAGCAGCTGAATAGCTTACTCTATGTTTAAAATTCTGATTGAGGTTGATGAAGATTCTTTTTGCTCAATTAACAAAATTTCTGACTATGCTGATCTATTTTGTTAAACTTTACTCATTATTTGAGATAAAGTATTTTTACAAAATCAGAACTGTCTTGAAGCTATTAATTATTTCTTACATGATATTTGAAATGATAACTGATCTTTTAGAGAAGTTACAGTTGTATTTGGTGATAATTTTTGCCAAATCTTACTAGTTGTTGTGAAGGGTTCAAGAGAACAAATAGTTGCAGCTTCTCTACAATAATCATTTTTATAGCAGTATATTACAATACATACTTTATGAAAAAATATACATTTAAAGACAGAGTCAGAAAAAAATAAATACTTTGCAAATTGGCTCTTGGAGGTAAGTATAGTATATGAGCTCTTTTTTGTAATTGTACTAAAATATATATAATTTAACATTTTTTAGTAGTGAATAACTATTGATCTACTAGCCTGTTTTAAATAAAACAACTACCAAAATATTCATCTTGATGAGAGGATTCTAATGAATTCAAAATCATCAAAATCTAATCACTAGATTACAAGATAATTAAAGTTTTTTGCAGTTTGACGTATCTATAAGGTAGGACAATTGGTTAGCCTATAGTCTAACCAATTGTCTCACCTTATAGATGCATCATATTGCAAAAAACTTCAATTATCTTGTAATTTAGTGATTGGATTTTGCTGATTTTGAATTCATTAGAATCCTCTCATCAAGATAAACATTTTGGTAGTTGTTTTATTTAAAACAGACTAGTAAATCAATAGTTATTTACTACTAAAAAAATATTAAATTATATATATTTTAGTACAATTTCAAAAAGGAGCTCATATGGGTTAAGATATTTGATCTAAATATGTATGTTCTTACTTTCATTATGTAATTGAAAAAAGAGTAAATATTTCCGAATCGCAAAACATAATCTCATTTTTTGCAAACATGAAAGCTGGCCCTGATGTATAATCACTCATTAATTCTGTATATCCAAATATAAATATACAAATACCTAGCAATATTTTTTTACAAGATTAAATAATTTTATCTGCTTACAACGTTGATATCTATAATATTAATTATGCTATTCTTAATATGTTTTCTAGAAACAAACGTACCTATTTGAGTACCAATAATACTATAATAAAAGATAGTGCTGATAATAACAATGTATATTTTGTTAAAACTTGAATTCTTTTAACCTGTCTAGATTGTCACCTTCTAAGCTTGATCTTAAAATTAGATATTCTATTATGCTTCTTCGCAACCTTGCACCTCATCAAAGACTTTGTGATGGCTTTCGCTTAATTGTTATCCATCTTTTAGATTACATTATTAAAGCACGCATACTAAGTAAAAGCTATACTAAAAAATTAGTTTTTATCTCTCGCATTACTTTGATATCATCTTCAACTGAATTACCATTTAAATTTAAAAGATAGCAGTTTCCAGTTTGTGCAGCATTTGCTATTACTATAAACAAGACTTAGGGCCAATCGCTTAAAAATGTTGGGATAGATTTCAGAATCACAGTTTTTGTATATGGCTAGCTTTATGTAGCTCTTTTTTGATACATTTCTCTCTATTCAATTAAGATTCTTTTTTCACGAGATTTTGATGATTATACAACTTTAAATATTATTTATCCTAAAGTACTTTTACCAGATTAATTTGATTTAAAATAAGTATTGTAGTATTAGATCATTACAAGATTAATATAGTTTATATCACTAAGTTCAAGTAATAACTCATATGATTTTATCCTAATTAAACCTGATGATATGATCTATATTAATCTTGTAATAGTCTAATACTGCAATATATGTTAATAATTGTCACAGCTGATGCTGACTTTTAGCTGATATTGAATCTAAAAAATCCTATTGGCTAAATTTTGCAGATCACCTTAACTTTAACCAATCAGATTAATTAAATTCAGCATCAGGCAAAATTCAGCATCAGCCGTCACAATAATTAATAGTTTTATTAAACCATTTTATGAATTTATTAAATTTTACCATTAAGTACTACTTTTTAATCTAATGCTGCAAAAATCATCTTCGCTTAAAGTTTATAGATTACATAAAAATCATCAAAGTTTATAAATTACATTAGGAAATTTTATATAGAGATATATAGCGATTGGTAACTCACAAGATATATATTGATATTAATCACCCCTGCAGGGTTATATTGATTTGGGTTTAAAACAATAGATAACCAGTTTAAGGCAATCAATACATATCTAGTGGGTTATCAATCGCTATATATCAGGTTTAAGCAAGTAATTTTTTAATAAATGATAATATTAATAAAGTAATATATAAATACTATATTATAAAGCAATAATACGTAAGTATATTACAATGCAAATATATAAATTTATTATCATTATTAATATAGTATAATCACATTACAGCGCAAATATAAAATTTATTATGATTTTATTACATAACTGTCAACAAATATAACTAATTCAAAATATATATATTTGAAGCAAAAATTTAATAATTGCAACCAAATAAGTCATTGGCATCTTTCTGTGAAAGTTCTATTGGATGTTGGGTTGATTGTTAAGATGAAGTACCCACTTCGGGTTTAGTTTCATATGGAGGTAACACTTGTTATGAACCACCACCACCACTACCACCGCCACCATTACCACCACCACCATTACCACCATCGCCGTTACCAACACCACTACCATTATGAGAAAGAATTTCATTGTTTAAAATAGATTCAGCTATTTCGTATGATGGATTACCATTACTGAAATCATTCTAATTAAAAAATAAAAATTAGTAATTACTAATAATAAATCATATGTAATTAATAATAGTACTTACAAGATACCTTTTGATACGACATGTAAGACGTTTTTCTGTACATGTGACACTTTTTGACCGGGGATTAAGTAAAATATTACAGACAGCGAGCGTGAAGGCGCAGTGCTCATTGGAGAGTGTAGGTATAGCAACCTCAGTAAAAGCTATTCTCGCAATTATAGTCACCCAAAAGACACCCTTATTATTCATTTCAAACAACATACGATAATAATTACTAACTTTATCACTTTGCTTTCAACTTACTATTTCAGCTAGTATAGCATTTTTTTAATGGTGGTAATCTTTCGCTCCCAAATACACGCCATACTGCTGATCCTAAGTTTTGAACCAACACACTTCGCAGGTTCTTCATTTTTTGCAAAAGCTATTGTCAAATATTAGTAATAAGTAAAGTAAAAAGAAATATAAATAATATATTTAAAAAATGATAACTATCGATATATACAGAGCTGAACTATTTTCTATAAAACCTATTGGTATATTGGTTAGAACTTAAACTACGCATAAACTCAGAGAACCTTTCTTTAAGATATTGTTTAAGCGCCTCCTTCAAGTCACTTTGGCTGGGGTATATGTTGTTCGGAAAGAGCCGCTTGACTACGCAGGTAAACACATCCTATATATTTTTTTTAAAATACTAATATATGTATTATTATTTACTAGTTCTTCTATCACAAATCAAGCACTATATACCGCTTAAACATGCTAGATCTAAATTGTTGCAAAGAAAAATAGATTTGTTGCAAACAAAAACATTTACATCTATCACTTGTGTAGAGAGATCATTATTTTGTTCTTCTTGGTGTCTTTCTAAGCAATCTAGCCTGGTTTTAATTTCATTAGAACTCACATCAAGCCTTTTATGAATTAAATATAACTGCTTAAGTTGAGGAAACATTCGCTTGTCAACTTGCTAACGGTATTGATAGTGGTCTTAATATAACAATAATAATAATAATAATAAAAATTCTATGGAAAAAAAAAAAAAAACAACAATTTGTCAAAAAAAAAAGAAAAAAAAAAGCCTTTATATACGTACTATATCAATTATATATATGATTTTGATTTGACGATCTTCTATCTATGTCACATGCTGGTAACCTTTCTCGTGATCGTGATCTTGAAAAATATCAATAAACTAGAGATAATGATCGATTATTATCGATATAGTACGACCTATAGTGAGACCTAGGTTTATGGCAGGAAGTAGATTTA